TTTTAATGGGTAACCAAAAAAAAAATATATATTGTTATTGATCCATATAAGGGGTCCATTGATTGACAAGCCCAACAAAGGGCAATTGATGGGACGAAAATTTGTTCCCATCTAAGCCCATTTTGATGGCAAAATACCATCTGTTCCCTCATCTGATATGCAACTTTAGCACTAAAAGCACATGTTTAATATCTTTATGACAAAAACACAGTGGGAAACAGATGGTGACGTAATCCGTTGAAAAATATATAAAAAGGGGAAAGGATTGAGAACATTAAATACACCTGCTCCACTCACTCAACCTCTCTGACCACTTTGCAGGAAACGTTGAAAAGAAGGTTCCATAAAGCATAAGCAGTGCAGCAATCAAGCACGAAGAAACGTGTACAACAGGAAATAAAGGGTTCTCATTGGCTAAGAGGAAAGCAAGGCATGTGGATGATTAGAAGGAAAGATAAATCTTAACAATAAGTGTCTCATCCAAGCAAGTTGCAACCCTCTGAGCACTGTTCACACCGCCCCGTCCATGCAGTCAAGAAAATAACTCCAAGAGAATTACTCACTTTTCCATTCACTCTTCTGCCTATAAATAGGACGTTCAAGCACGAAGAACATCATCGAATTTCTTAAGAAGAGATCACTTAGTTTATTTTGTAGTTTTTCTTTTATATAGTTTTAGTTGTTGCTACGTGACAACATTTCTTCTCTATTCTGTATCACCCACTTGAGACTCTTCATGAGCAACAACCATATTCTCCACTTTCTATTTTGTTGTAACCTAATTTGTTTCTTATCAATATAAGTGTTATTTCTTTCCTTTCCACTCGTTATCTCTGAACTGAATCTCGGGTCTATGGGATTTCAGTTTAGAATAATTATGTTTAAAGTAGTAGCCATGAGCTAAACTATCTGTGCAACGAAAAAGCTGCAAAGTTCTTAAAGAATTATTTTCAAAACTTTTGTACTGAGCTTTTGTATTTCTCTAGTTAAGTAAGATATATTCATTGTGTATCAATGGAAATTGAACACATATTGAGAAAAGAACTTTCATAAGGAAGGGATTTCAGACAGCTTAACCAGAGGGGGAAGGCTGTGTAACACTGCTGGTTGCCTTAGGAATAAGGGACCACCTCGTTCATTTGAAGGTCCTGTGCTAAGTAACTGTTGGAGTCAAGGGAGCCATATGAATATGGAAACTTGTGAGCCATTTAGTCCATGAGCTAAGGAATCAGAGGTTGGCAGTGAAGAGACTGGAACAAAGACAAAAGTGTTAAGTCTTGAGTAGCGAAAATAACTATTTAAGAATGGAATAGTGAATCCGTTCCTTGTGTCAAAACTGTTTTAAACCATCCACACTATTGTTTCTTAATTATTGTTAATACTATTGTTATTTTTTCTTCCTTTATTCAATCTTGTATCTATAAATCTCTCATGAATATTGTTGTTCCTTCTCTCAACAAGAAGGGTATCATACATAACGGAGCGATGAACTGTTTGCTGTCAGACTGAACCTACTGTTCTTGAGGAACGTTGTCAAGACAGTAGGGAACGTTTTCCCAAACAGGTCAATTACTAACTTTTCTTTTCATTTTCATTCTTTATAAAATAGTTTAAGGCATTAATTAGAGTTCTATCCTCGTGGGAACGATAATCTGGGGACTAATAGTCCCTTTATTACTTGATGCGTGCACTTGTGCACTTGGGTTGAAAGTAAGAGAACACAAGTGTTTTCTCTTGCTGAACTAGAACGTTCGTCATCATAATATATTTTTCACCCAACAAGCTTTTGACCCAACAAGTTTTTGGAGCCGTTGCCGGGGATAGACACACTAAATTTTTCCTTACTACTGTCTTAAGTACATACTCTGTATATTTCATTTTCATTTTCTTATTTTTATTCTGTCACATATTCTGTTGTTCATATTATCTGTGTTTTATGGTTTATGAGTGAAGAGTCTGAAACAGATTCTTACCACTCCACTGAAATACCTGAGTTCTTCTTTGACCCTGAACCATAACGTACTTTGCGTAGAAGAAGAAGAAATCTTAGGGAAAATATTTGTGAAAATATGGCTGATCATAACAATAATAATGATGAAATTCCTCCTGAACAGAACTTCAGAGCTTTGGCTGCTCCTTTCAGGAACAGACCAGAAAAGGGAGTGATCCTTCCCCCATTAGCTCCCAACTTTGAACTCAAACCTATCATGTTTCACATGATCAGGGAAGCAGGAGTCTTCAATGCTCTCCGTACAGAAGATCCTTACACACACCTGACAAACTTCCAAGATATTTGTGATAATTTTAGAACTGAGGGTGTAACAGAGGAAAGTATGAGAATGAAGCTGTTTCCTCATACCTTGGGCTCAAAAGCAAAAACATGGATGAAAACCCTCACCCCTGGTTCCATACACTCTTGGGAGGAACTTTCTAATAAGTTCATAGAAAGATTTCTCCCTGTCTCGCCAAGCTGATGTTAGAGCAGAGCTATCTAATTTTAGAATGTTTTATGGAGAAAATCTTTATGAAGCTTGGGAGAAATATAAGGACATCATTAGAAAGTGTCCAAACCATGGGGTAGAAAGTTGGGGAATTTTACAGTCTTTTTATAAAGGGATTGATCATACTTCTCAATCACATTTAGACTTTGCTGCAAGAGGATATTTCTTTACAGGAACTCTTGAATCCAGGTATGAAATCATAGAAGGCACTGCAGAAAGATGTCTCCAATGGCCACTAGACAGGGTGAGCCCAGTAAGGAAGCCGGACATGCTAGAATTAGACAAACAAACGGCCATGGAATCCCAACTGGCCACACTGATAAATGAGGTGAAGAATCTGAAAGCTGATCAAGAACAACCAAGGATGGAAGTCTTACAACTCGCAGCAACTGAGAGTGAACCTTGCTCAGCCTGTGGTGATCTCCATGATTCAGCAGACTGCCCATCCACTGCCTTGGTATGTTATGCGAAAAAATTTGGGAACAGAAACTTCACCCAATCCTGGAGGAACCATAGTGAAAGATCAGAACCATAATCCTCAATGGAGACCACCCACAAACCAAAGACCATACAACATTCAGCAGCAACAATATCAACAAGGCAACAGAAATGGAGCATATGAACCACAAAGAAGAACCAATTATGCTCTGTTCCAAAGAGATGACCAACGCATCAACACCTTGGAAAACTATGTCAAAGAATATGTCACCAGGAATGATGTTGTGGTCAGAAATATTGAATCCCACCTGGGACAGATAGCTGCCAGCCTCAACACTAGGATACCGGGAAAATTGCCAGGGACACTGAAGTTCCCTCAACATCTTCCCCAGAAACTTAAGAGGTAAGTAACATGTCTAACTAAAGACACTAAACTAAGCGCTGACTGGGAGGCAGCCCAGTTGATACCTTTGCCCTCTAACAAGGAGCAAAGTTTTAGGTGGTTATAATTAACCACAAGGCTCCAAAACAGGGAGGGAACGTCTGATGTTCAACTCTAAGTCCAAATAAGGAAAATATGTTCCGTTCCAGGAACGTAGTTTTGGGGTGGTTCATTAACCACACATTCCCATAAAAAAATACATTTATATATATATATATATATATATATATATATATATATATTGTTAATCTTAATAAATAAGTAGTATTTCTTTATAGTGCAATTTATATCTCGGTTTCTTGTGTTAAATAGATTTGCATTTTTATTATTAGGGTGTTAGTTTATTATTATTATTTAAATATAGGCAAAAAGACAAAGGGAACGTTCTCTGGCTTAGGAGATAAGAGTGACAAGGACACCTGTCCCTGCTGAGTCACTTACATATGCGCAGCCGTTATCAAATCTGCACTCATTGCAGATTTTGAGAACGTGCCCTGAAAAAGCAACTGTCTCCTCGGCCGTAAATGCAACTGCTTCTCTCTTGTTTCCATCTCTCCTACATTTTCTACCCTAAACCGTTCTGCCTCCTTACCACCATCAGTAGTAGTTGAATACCACTAACCCTGACCACTCGTTCCATAACGTTCCCTTGCCACTACCTTCTCAACTTCCTTTCTTTAACCTCCATGTCCTTAAAAACTCCTCACTTTCCCTCCCTTGCATGCTTATTTAAACTCATCTCATCTCTCCTTCAAAGCCTTACTATCTTCTGCTACCTTAGAAACTTTTGCTCTTATTAAACCCCTCCTTCTGCATTTTGCCCTAACTGCTTCTTCTTCCATAACCATGACTAGACTTTCAATAACTGTCACCCCTGTGGCTGGCCGTGGCCAAGAGCCATAACTCACTGAAGAAGTTGTACCTCTCTACCCAGAGAGGAATATCTTCTTGCAAGACAAGGTTCCTCTTCCATCATTCGTGAAGAGGGCTTTAACCAAAATCAGGTGGACCTTGTTTGCCACAGATAAACGCGAACTCAACACTGCCTTGGTGGCTGAGTTCTTATATCATGCGAAGAGGCTGCCTGAGGGGTACACCACTGATGAGGTGACTGTAAGGGGAAGAAAGTATCATTCTCCCCTTCAGCCATCGAGGAAGTACTCAATCTCCCCACCATTTCCAAATGCCCGTACCAAGAATACATAGCGAGCAGAGAGGTTTCGAAGTTCACAAGGGATGTTAAGGACCTGATCACCATTGGCAACCCTGTTTATGCTAAAAGAGTCCTCTGCAAAGGAAGCTTGAGAGACAAAGCCAGATTCTGGGCTTTGTTGGCCAACTCTAACCTTACTCCCTCCACTCATGATGCCACTGTCAAGTGGGCATTATAGGTACAACTCTACTGCATCATGAAGAATATTCCTTTTGATGCAGTACCCCTTATCTATGGCAGCTTGAAGAAGGAGATCAGGAAGACTACTGTCTACCTTCCCTGCCTAATTACGAAGCTCTGTTGAAGAGCTGGGGTAAAGACTTATTGCGATGAAGACCGAGCGACGGGGTCTGTCATCGATTTCAAAATCTGGAGTGGTCTGAGGAGCACTTATATAGAAACAGACATGCCAATCCCTGAGGAATTTAGGCGTGATGTTGTTGATGATGATGAAGAGGGCCCTGAGGCCCCAAAGAAGAAAACCACGAAGGCCACCCCTTCAAAATCAACAACCACTTCTTCCTACACCCAGGCAAGAAGAACCGTTCCCCCTCCCACCAAGGTAAAGAAGGAAGCCCTTGTTGCTACTGAGAGCAAACATGGCAAAAAGAAATCTCATGTCAAAGCTCCCCCAAGAAAGGGGGAATGTTCCAGTCAGAGGCTGGAGAGATCCTTCAGCAGCACCAAAAGGACAGAGGGAGCATCCTCTAAGAAGCTCATCACCCTCTCTGACAAGGAGGAGGACAGTGAGGACAATGAGCCTATTGCAAAAAGGCTGAAGAAAAGAGGAACGTCAAAACCTACACCAGCTACTAAGGAGACATCCCCAAGTAGCTCTACCACTTCTGAGTCCTCTGACGTTCTGTCTCCTCCACCATCACCTGCTTATTCCTCACCACCTCCAAGAACACAACAACCCTCTCCTGGGCAACAAGAAGGAGATGGAATTAAAGAAACAGATGCAGCACCTGCTGCAGAAAAACATGTGGCTCAGCAAGAAGCTCAGCCACAAAAGAAACTTGACAAAGGAAAAGGGATTCTTGTTGAATCCCCTAAAAAGAAAAAGCCAATTGCTCCCAGGTAAATCAGTCTGGGAAGGCCTTTCTCTTGCCCCATTATCCGTCCTGATACAACTGGGGACGAGGCCCTTGCTAGGGCTCTAGCAGAAGAGGAGGGCTTAGAAGTTCCTCCACTGATGGAGGAACAAATTACAACAGCCCCCTCTTCCTCAAAAATAAAGGAGGTTGCAATCAGGCAAGCACCTGAAGAACCTCCAGCTTCTGGTATTAACAACAACCAGAAAAAGAAGAAACCAGCCTCCCCCATTCCATCAATCCCCATTGCATCGAGGAGAAAATCTCAGATTGGGATTGCTGAGATTTTTGAAATGATGGGGAAGAAGATGGAGAAGCTGCTACCTGAAGCGCCATCCATTCCTCAGCTGGACATGACCAGCACTACTGAAGAGCTGAAGGCTCTAAGGAACAGATTGGATCAACTCTCATCTTCCTTCATCAAATTCCAAGAGCAACAGAAGGAAGACAGGGAGCAGCTCCTCAACACCATCTAGGCCAGCATCAAAAGCATCAATGTTGCACCTTCTGCACCTACCCTTCAAGCTGTCAGGAGTGAAATCAGAAATGCAGCTGATTCTCTGAAGTTTGCGCATTCCATGCACAACACCAGAGCTGAGAAACAACTTAGAAGACTCTACCTCCAAAACACTGAAGAACGATCAGAAACCAATGAAGCTCTCAAGGCTTTTGGTATATATTTTGAAGGGAGAATCACTCAGCTGGAAAACCGATTGGTGGATGTAGAAGGGCAGATAGTGCATATCCACAATGGCAGGATATTGATGAGATCCACTATTGTGAACTTGACTGCTGTGATCAGTGATCTACTGAAGGACGCTGAGAAGTGGCTCCCTGAAGCTGAAGTAAGAAGATTAAGAGATCAGCTTGGGAGAAGGCCACTTACGCAGGAGGAACTAGATGCTGAACAGAATTCTGAGCTGGGCAAGAGACGTCCACAATGAAAAGGAGAAAGACCCTCCTATTTTTGTTTATTCCCCATTTATTATTTTTCTGTTAATTTCCTTTTGTTTTGTTTTTCGTTCCCTAGTGTAAATTTTAACTTCTTTTTGAAATAGAAAAATCCTTTTTGTTCAAACTGTTTGGAGCATACATTTCAGTTATAGTATTGTGGCTGTGAAAATTTGAATAACCAATGGCATAAAGCACAAAGTCAATGAGTAATCATTCTTGTTCTTACCTTGAATACTTGAAATAGGAAAGGTGAAATGAATTTAATCTTCAGATTTTTGAAGGATACTGATCTGTGTGAACTAAAACTGGTAAGGATCGAAAAATGCCAAACACTTAGTCATGAGCGCGTTCCTGAGGTGTCACCATAATGAAACTTCTAAACTTGCCTTGTTGTTGTAAGTACTGCTGAAGAACAGGTGAATTTCACTAACAAGGATCAACTTCAAACACTCACCCCGTCACAATCAAACAAACATTTCCATTCAAACCACAGCACAACCCCATACACTCATACTCATCCCATGGTCAACTAAAAAGAGCAAGGAACAAATCCGAAATGAGCAAAGAGGACAAGAAGAAAAGAAAACAAAGAAAAATGGGAACAATCATTCAAAAGAATTCAGAAGAAGATACCAGAAAAGATTCCTCCAAAGGAAGAAAAGAAGGTACAAAAAGACAAGGTGTTCCCTCACCAAAAAAGTCCAGCTCTGAAACAGAAAAAAACTGAAAAATGTTCCTTGACCTAAGACCTGTGACCATTCCATTTCTAAAAACCCCCCATCAATCCTTTTCACAAAGATCCTTTGATATGAAAGACACCTGCACTTCTTAGGAAAGCAACAGATAAGCAAGTTTGAAGAATCACATCCAGGAATGGACAGAGAAACACAAGCCCTGAGTGATAGTGAGACAGAAGATCAGCAACCTTCACTTACCTTGGAACAAATTCTTTTTACTTGTCACCTATGGAAAGTAGTTCAGTATTTGAAAAGATTATGATTACTTACTGGCTCAAGTTTATGAAGTTGAGCTATTCTTTGAAATTGAGCAGCCTAAGCCACTATTTCTGAGTTGTTTAAGGACAACCAACAGTTTAGTTTTGGGGTGTTTGATGGGACAAAAACTTGTTCCCATTTAATTCCATTTTGATGGAAAAATACCATCCGTTCTCTCATCTGATAAGCAACTTTAGCACTAAAAGCACATGTTTAATATCTTTATGACAAAAATACAGTGGGAAACGGATGGAGACGTAATCCTTTGGAAAATAGATAAAAAGGGGAACAGATTGGGAACATTAAATTACCTGGTCCACTCACTCAACCTCTCTGACCACTTTGCAGGAAACGTTGAAAAGAAGGTTCCATAAAGCATAAGCGGTCCAGCAATCAATCACGAAGAAACGTGTACAGCAGGGAATAAAGGATTCTCATTGGCTAAGAGGAAAGCAAGGCATGGGGATGATCAGAAGGAAAGACAAATCTCAACAATAAGTGTCCCATCTAAGCAAGTTGCAACCCTCTGAGCACTGTTCACACCGCCCCGTCCATGCAGTCAAGAAAACAACTCCAAGGGAATTACTCGCTTTGCCATTCACTCTTCTGCATATAAATATGACATTCCAGCACGAAGAACATCATTGAATTCCTTAAGAAGAGATCACTTAGTTTATTTTGTATTTTTTCTTTTGTATAGTTTTAGTTGAAGTTAAGTGACAACACTTCTTCTCTATTCTGTATCACCCAATTGAGACTCCTCACGAGCAACAACCATATTCTCCACTTTCTATTTTGTTGTAACCTAATTTATTTCCAGTTAAATATAAATGTTATTTCTCTCTTTTCCATTGGTTATCTCTGAACTGAATCTCGGGTCTATGGGATTTCAGTTTAGAATAATTATGTTTAAAGTAGTAGCCATGGGCTAAACTATCTGTGGAACGGAAAAGCTGCAATGTTCTTAAAGAATCATTTTCAAAACTTTTGTACTGAGCTTTTGTATTTCTCTGGTTGAGTAAGCTATATTCATTGTGTATCAATGGCAATTGAACACATACTTAGAAAGGAACTTCCATAAGGAAGGGATTTCAGACAGCTTAACCAGAGGGGGAAGGCAGTGTCGTGTAAACAACACTGTTAGGTGCCTTAGGAATAAGGGACCACCTCGTTCATTTGAAGGTCTTGTGCTAAGTAACTGTTGGAGTCAAGGGAGCCATAGGAATATGGAAACTTGTGAGCCATTTAGTCCATGAGCTGAGGAATTAGAGGTTGGCAGTGAAGAGACTAGAACAAAGACAAAAGTGTTAAGTCTTGAGTAGCGAAAATAACTATTTAAGAATGGAACAGTGAATCCGTTCCTTGTGTCAAAACTGTTTTAAACCATCCACACTGTTGTCTCTTAATTACTCTTATTACTATTGTTATTTTTTTCTTCCTTTATTCAATCTTGTATCTATAAATCTCTCATGAATATTGTTGTTCTTTCTCTCAACAAGAAGGGTATCATACATAACGAAGCAATGAACTGTAGACTGAACCTACTGTTCTTGAGAAATGTTGTCAAGACAGTAGGGAACATTTGCCCAAACAGGTCAATTACTAACTTTTCTTTTCATTTTCATTCTTTATAAAATAGTTTAAGGCATTAATTAGAGTTCTATCCTTGTGGTAACGATAATCTGGGCACTAATAGTCCCTTTATTACTTGATGCGTGCATTTGCGCACTTGGGTTGAAAGTAAGAGAACACAAGTGTTTTCTCTTACTGAACTAGAACGTTCTTCATCATAATATATTTTTCACCCAACAAGCTTTTGACCCAACAGTAATCTAAGATTTAAATCAAGCATAACTACGGAAGGATATCCATGAAGGATACCAATCTTAATACGACAGCATGATAGATGGGCTTGGGCCACCATCAGAGGTACTAAAGGTTTAGAATCTACTATCCACAGGTAAACCCTATAAATAAGAGGTAAAACCTACAGGTACGCTACGCTCTCTCTTACTGTTATACTGTCACTGTGCGCACACACCCCATTTGGCAAAGCTGTTATTGTTTTCTTGTGCATAGTGATCTATTTGACTCAAGGGTATGTCATCTATAGATACCTTGGAGAGGGCACTAGATTCAAGATCATCGTACTAGTCCAATGGGCTAGACATCTCTGTCTCCAAGACAGAACACTGGCGCTGTCTGTGGGGGAAAAGACAAATTTGATATTTCCACGATTCTGACTAGAGATGACAGGCCGTACAAGGAGTAATAGCCAACAGCCACAACCTCCCAATCACTCATTGGATCCGGTTCTGGAAGAGGTGAATCAGCCCCAAAACCAACCTGAAAATGAGGTGGACTATGATGCGGTCCATGTCAGTGAGGATGTATCAGATACAGCCTCCACGCCAGCCCCTCGCAACCGAGTTGCATACCCAGCTCTGCCTCCCCCTCTTCCTCAAAATTCGATGGGCATCGCTGCTCGTGTTGCACAGGCTGCAGATCCTGACTCTCGCTTTGCACAAAATGCATTCATCGCAATCATACGGCGGCTGGAAGATATGGAAAACCGCAACAACCTCCAACAGCAAGAAGATTTCAGGAGAATTCAGGAGGAAAACACAAGGAGGATGCAAGATATGGAGAAATGCTTACTGGAGCTGAGGGGACTGGGGTCTGCAGGGATCCAAGGTCGAGATGGTAATGGCCAGAATAAGGATTATAACCCAGATAATCAAGTCCGGGTTAGGGAGGCTGAGATCCAGGGAAGGAAAAATGCAGGAACTGTTGTGGACCCAAATTTGGGAGCCATGGAATGAACAACCAGAATGTGAATATGCAACCTCCGGCTCAAAATGCTACAGCAGGAGGAAATATGCAGAGAAACAGGGATGGGACATATCTTATCCAAGATGCTGAACCTGTCAGAGGGCGTGTTGAACTCGGTGCTTACAGGAGGAAGTACAGTAGGGGGCAATACAATAACAGCCCTCTTACTGGTGAAATACTAAATGCTTCATTCCCAGAGGAATTTGACTCGGCACACCTGCCGAAGTGTGATGGAAGTCAGGACCCTCATGTCTATATAGATGCGTTCAACAGAGACATGTATATCCGAGGAATTGATGAACCAATCATATCTCAGATATTTGCTACTACCTTAATTGGAGCTGCACAAGCATGATTTTCAACCCTAACGGCTTACTCCATTGGATCTTTCGAAGAAAAAGCTCTTGTTGAATTTTGCAACGAGCAAAAAAATCTGAAATCTGAGTTCGCACTAGGAAAGATATGACAACAACCCGGAGAAACACTCCAGAGGTATCTGAACCGATTTAAAGATGTGGTGTTGCAGGTACTGGGTTTGCAGGAAAACGTCCATGTCCACCTCATTGTAGACGGGTTGGATGGATCGTCTAGGCTGGTAAAATTAGTCTATAAAGATCCTGTAAGGATGTTAGATGATTGCGGTTTCTGTGTGCTGTGGTTTCCGCCCATGATGATTGCGGTTTCACCCCACGATT